TAAGATTAATTGGTTTAAGAATTCAGCTCAAAAATCTTGAGAACAAACTTATATTACTCTTAAATTGACATTTTCAGGTAAATTTCTTATGGGTGACTCAAGATTACAAGTAAAGAATAATATTCATTGTAAACATATCAGGGTCTTAGAATCGTTTATCAAACAATGTAAAAAAGATAAAGATGGACCAATAACAAGAACTGACATGAAACGATATAACATTATGTTCAAATATCTTCATAAGAAAATCTCAGAAACTACATGCTAATTTGCAGGATGAATTCCAATCGAGGAAGAGGCATCCTTCATACAGGGGTGGTTATGGTAGAGGCCGAGGAAATCCTGCGGCTTCAAGCAGTTCTTATAGAACTGGAAATTCGTCACAAGCAGATAATCAGTCTCTTCCAATTCCCGGAAGCCCATTATATGAGGAGTTTAAAGCATTTTTAGAATCAAAAAAGGAAAATATTCCTAGCTTCGCCCAAATGATCACAGATGGTGAAACCATCAACGATAATTTTGAATATAAGGAATCATCTCATAGAGATACTATTATTATCTTAGAACATAAAGATATAATGCTTTATTTTGAAAATAATGATGATCCATGGTTTTTAATGACAAGATACTTGGATACAGCAACATACGCTGGATATTCTTATAAACAAAGATTATATTATGAGAATATTTTGAAAATAACTGGATCAGTTGAATTTTCTCATTTTACATCCGGAGGTAATACCAGTGTTTACAATTTTAGCAAAGCCATTATCAAAAAGATCATATCACCTGAGGAATGGGGATTGAGTACCCTTAAAGAAAAAGAGTTTATACTCCCTCCTTCGAAGATACCAATGAAATTTACATACTGGGATTATATTGAAAGCTTTCATAAAGCCTTCCTATATGAGAACCCTCAAAGAAAACATACTTGGTTCTTTAAAGTATGTGAAAAGGTTTATAACCAAAGTAAAGATATACCAAATTGGTTCAGTAATTGGTGGATCTCATATGGCCCAAGTATAGATATTCTCCCTGAGGAACCATTTAGAAAATTATATGGGGAATGGTTACCCGTCTCTCCTAGATACCAAAACCAAGCCGTTCCTTTGAAATCAGAAGGGTTGGAAGCAATATCTTCCATGCATTTTTTCATGGAATTTTCTATTCCGTGGATTTGGAAATGGTCCCCACATGTGGATTATACTCCCTCCAAATTTCCTTCTCTACAAAGGTCATATTTTACTAAATTCTGGCCTAAAATGCTTCATAAAAATCCAGAAACAAAAATTCTTAATGCACAGGAAACAATTGATCATATCAATCAGCAAATTAAGAAATACCAAGACCAGAAAAAATTCTCGGAAATAGCCTCCTCGACAGAAGCAGCCCCCTCAACTTCTCAAAAGGTCAATCTAACTAAAGAAGAAATAATCAAGTCATTCAGGTTATACTGTTCTGAATTAAAAGAAAACCTTAAAAGGTTTACAAAACATGAAAATGCAAAAGATGAAGGTTCAAGTGAAGATATTTCAGATAATATGTCAGTTGATAACCACAGCCAAAGACAGTTTTTAGCGGGAGAATCCCAGCCAGATGATGAAGGATTTCCAGAAGAAGACCTCCCCATTGATTGCATGATTGACATGATTGAGGAATCAATCACTCAAAGAAAGAATCTTTCCAAGACAAAAAGGACAGCACCACAATAGACTCAAGGTGACAGGTGGATGGACCAAAATAAAAGAGGATGATATTCTTCCAAAATTATTGAAGACAAAGAATAATATTCGTCAGATATTATTAAAGCAAGGGAATCAAACAAAGAGTCATTTCTACTTTTCTAAAAGCTGTTTGCCAATGCTAAATGTAATAATTTAGGTTTCGTTTGTTTTTTTTGTGGCCTCCTGATCTATTTAAGTAGCCTCTCTCTTATGTTTGAGACAGGCCTGGAGCCATTTCTATATTTCTCTCTTGTAATCTACTCTTGTAAAAAATCCTTCTGCAATAAATAGTTTTAAATGAAAAAAAAAAAAAAAAAGTCCGGAAAAAAGGCAAAGTCGTGTTTTAGCCCAGCTTTTATAACCACGGTGTTGTTTTAGGGCGTTTTACTCATTGACTCGCCTAGCCCGCCTGACTCTTCTAAATATTTTAAAATTTTATTATTTTATTTTGTTTGGACTTTAAATTTTACTCATATCGTTATGGTCCTGCATGACATGTGGTAAAAAAAAAAAAAAAAAGAGCCCGGAGAAAAAGGCAAAGTCGTGTTTTAGCCCTGCTTTTATAACCACGGTGTTGTTTTAGGGCGTTTTACTCATTGACTCGCCTAGCCCGCCTAACTCTTCTAAATATTTTAAAATTTTCTTATTTTATTTTGTTTGGTCTTTAAATTTTACTCATATCGTTAAGGTTCTGCATGACATGTGGTATCAGAGCCATGAAATACAGTTCTTAGGGACGCTAGAAATAAAAATTGGAAACAATCTTTAATAGGTATAATAGAATCTAGTTTGTCTCCTGGACCGGTATATTTTAATGTTTACCCAAATTTACAACTTTCTTTGTCTGATAAGAATATTTTTCAAGCATTAACATTAAATGTCAAAACTCATGGTTATAATTATTTACCAGGATCGGAAGTAATATGTATATGTTATCGTATATATTTTAAACCATTAAAAACGATGAATACTAAATGTAAGAAAGTAAATAAACCTATAAATGAAACAATTTTAATAGAAAGTAATTTCGATATGTCAAAAATTACAACTAGAAAAGCCATAAAATGGGATGAAATAAAATTTCCCCAACACTGGATTTTAGAAGATAATATAACACCCACGCCTTTAATAAATAATAATATAGAAAGTATTATACAAACTTCTGATGGGGCCGTTACTATAGAATTTAACAAGGAAATAGAATATGAACACAACCTAATAAAACGAACAAGATCGGCAAGATCTTCACATTCATACATATCACCATTAGATTATAATGTAGAAGTCCCCTCTACTCGTGCTTCTGTTGATATCAGAAAAATAAATAATGTAAATATACATGATGATATTGTGTATGAGGCGGAGGCATCTACTCCTTCTAAAATGAATTTTACAGTTTAATGGATTTAGACGAAAAAATAGATTTTAGCCCTGGTTCTCAGGCAAGAAAAATTATTTCAGAAGAATTTTATTCAACTAAATGGACATTTTTTAAAGATTGGTTATTTAAAAATTATTCTAAAGAGGAGTTACAAGAGATACAAAATACATTTTATGAACATTTATCCTCTATAAATCAGATTATACATTTTATTCCTTGGTTTACTTATACTTTTCTACATGATATTCACAACATAGAAAGAGATTATACTCTATCAGGAGACAAGATAATAACAAGCATATTTCCACCTCAAATCCCTTTTACAATTACAAATAACAACGTTACCATAAAATTTTCAGCTTATCAAAAACTTTTTGAAGAAAAGACTCCTACTGTAGATATAAATCATATTAATAGTATGATCCAACAATTAAATTTCCATAATTTATATTCTATAATAATAGGAGAACAATTAATGGATTTACATAAAAAATAGAAAAAATAAATAGTCAGAAAGAGATAATAATAAAAAGAAAAGAGAAAGAAAAACAAATAAACGCTACTATTCAACCACCACCAAATATTACTGGTTATAAATTAAAAAACTACGATTATATGCTAGATATTATACAAGAACAAATGAAAAAACTACATATTAATACCATAAATAAAGACTCGGATGATGAGTCAGACATAGATGAGGCCCAAATAAATAAAATTAATAATTACGACAGTAAATTTGCTAGAAAGCCTGTCAAAGATTATATTATTATCCAAGACCAAGTCCCCAAGATGTCCTACACGAGGAACAAGAATATGAAATTAATAATAGTTACAGTGGTAAAAATGTTTATGAATGGAATCTAGATGGATATACTGAAAGACAAATATATAATATGATTCATAGAATGTTAATGTATAGCACAATTGCTAAAAATACAGGAAATAGTGATAAACAAGTAGCTAACATGCTAATTGCCGGATTCACTGGCCAATTAAAAGGCTGGTGGGACAATTATGTTGATGAAAAAACTCAACAAGCTATTCTTAATACAGTAAAAACAGAAAATGGAATAACTACTCCCAATGTGGTATACACTCTTACTTGTACCATAATAGAACATTTTACAGGAAGATGGTCAGATAATTCTGAAAACATTCGTACCTTATTAAATGGATTATTTTGTAAAACTCTTACGTCCTTTCGATGGTATAAGGATACTTTTTTAAGTAGAGTTATGGAGCTTAATGATTGTAATAGTGTTTATTGGAAATCAAAATTCATAGATGGTTTGCCAAATCTTTTTGCTGAAAGAGTTAAAAACCAACTAAGAATAGATAATACAATTCCTTACGAAGATTACACATATGGAAAATTAATAGGAACTTGTATCCAGGAAGGTTTGGCCCTATGTAGTGAAATAAAACTCAACCATCAAATAAAAACCCAACATCTTAATGAAAAAAGACAATTAGGAGAATTTTGTGATCAGTTCGGAATAGAAACCAGTAAAAATAAGAAGAAACAGAGAAAAGAATTCCAACAGAAAAAAAGATTTTATAAGAGAAAACATAACGATTTTAATAGAAAAGATAAACACATAAAAAAGAAATTTATTAAAAAGGAAAATAAAAAACCTCCTACTTGCTTTTCATGTGGAAAAACTGGTCATTATGCTAATAAATGCAGAAATAAAAAAATAAAGAAACAAATTAATAATATGGATATAAGTGAGGACATAAAACTTCAATTAATAAATTTAATAGATAATTCGTCAGACGGAGAGGAAATCTCAGACAATAATTCTGATATCAACATAACAGATTATGATTCTAATTCAGATTCTGAAGAAATTGAATGTAATTGTGATAATCTAGAACAATGTTCATGTAACATGGATCATCAATTATATCTAATCCAATCTCAATTTAAAGAAGATTTAACCATAAATGTAATTAGTAATGATATTGCAGACTTATTAAAAGAAGTAAATGATCCAGAAATAAGGCAGAAGATACTAGAAAATTTAGCTATCAAAGAGTTACATACACTAAGTTCTCAAGAGCTTAGCAAGTTAATTAGGGATGCAGACAATGATACTATTCAATGGACTACCAGCACTGGATCTTCAAATCAGATCGATGTGGAAGCCCTAGCAAGAAATTTTGTGATTCACCTAATTGCAAAACTTTTGTCTTCTAAGAGAGATGAAGAACTCTTCAGATACTTGTTAGGTGGTATTCGACTATTACATTCCCTGTGTGATCTTGCACCCCGCAACAACAAACTTGAACAGATTTTGCTTGATGATCTGAAAATATCTGAACAGATGCTTGATTTGATCTTTTACCTAATCACTGTTCTTGCTAGCTTTAAAAAGGAAAGTCAACTTGCTCTGGTGCATTCAGCACTGTTGGCCTGCAGTCTGTATCTGTTAACAGCCTTTATTTCTTCACAATGGAATGAACTTGCACTAGTCCTTCTTGCACACCCTAAGGTTGATATATTTTTGCCTGTAGCTTTTGCTGCTGTCCACATAGACATTCAGTTTCTTCAAGTGAGGTTGTCTCAGTTTACTGATACTGGCATGCGGTCAAATCTTGCTGAAGTCAACCGTCTGTGTCAGCATTGTGAAGCTTCACTTCAATTTCTTCAGTCACTTTGCCAACAAAGATTCTTTCGTGAGCGCCTCGTTAAAAATAAGGAACTATGCGGAGAAGGTGGCATACTTTTATTGGCTCATGACATCATGAAATTACCATTCTGTGAAGAATCGTATCTTATGGCTGTTGTTTCCAGGCTAAAGTCAAAAGTCTTGTCTATTCTACTGCATCTTTGTGAAGTAGAAAGCGTCTCTTTCTTGGATGTGGCTGCCAGCACTACTGCGGGTTTGACTTTAGCAAAGTCAACTATATTCCAGGTTCTTGAATTGTTGAAGACAATGTTTCGTGGAGATCTGAATGGGCTTTCTGCTTTCTCTGACAAAACCTATCCACGTGGACTTCTGTAACTTAATGCAATGCGATTAACAGACATTCTCTCTGATGATTCTAACTTTAGATCTTACATCACCATGAACTTTACTGAAGTTCTGACAACAATATTTTTGCTACCACATGCGGAGTTCCTGTCTAGTTGGTGCTCCTCTGAGTCTCGGCTTTCAGAAGAAGATGCAACTCTGGATTATGATTCGTTGGCAGCAGCCGGATGGGTTTTGGGTGTGCTGACATCATCAGATGTTCCGGAATCTACTTTTAATGCGTGTCGTGTTTCTCGGACTTCTTATGCGTTTCAGAGAACATCTTTACTTGTTAAAGTTGTAGCAAATCTCACTTGTTTTATTCCGGATTTATGTAAAGAGGAGAAGGATCTCTTCCTTAATACATTCCTGCAGTGCTTGCAGAAGGAAATTCCTAATTTACCATATGGAGTTTCTAATGATGCTGGAGCTAAAAGGCTGCTGTCATTAGCCAAAACCTGCGTTCCCTATTGGTTCATGCAGAATCATTAATTCCTGGATTCCTTAATCAGGATGATGTACAGCTGTTTAGGGTATTCATTTCTCAGCTGGATCCACTAATTACTCCAGAATCCAATATCGACAAAACCGAAGAGGGTAACGCTGGGAATCAAGGATCTCCAAATCCACATGGAAACGAGAACAAGGGCGTTTCTGACAATTCAGTTGTGGAAGAACTGAACCAGTTAAATATAGATCCATCTAATGCTTTAGTTAGGCAAGAACACCGGATTGATTTGCCTCAAAGTTTTAATGCTAGGGTTTTTCATGAAAGCGAAGGAGATGGTCAAAACATTGAAACAAATGGATTGGATTCAAATGGCATGGCAAGTGAGGAAAAACAGCTGAGAAAAAGGAAACGCAACATAATGAATCACATGCAAGTAACCATGATTGAACAAGCTTTACAGAATGAGCCTGACATGCAGAGGAAAGCTGCCTCAATTCAAATATGGGCTGATAAACTTAGTCTTCATGGTTCTGAAATTTCTGCCTCGCAGCTCAAGAATTGGTTGAATAACCGTAAGGCGAAACTAGCACGTGCGGCTGCTAAGGATGCGTGTGTGGCTTCAAGCGGGGAGAAGCAAGGTGGGGGGTCAGGAACGGACCCGGTTTCCGACACGCTGGAGAATCCTGATGAGTTCTTTGACCAGGCTCCATCTGGTTCTGGTGGTCAAGGTCAAGGAAGTCAACACAACAGAAACTTGGAAGCCCAATATGTTATGCATACAGATGGAGAAAAGAATATGAAATACCAAAAAATTTAGACCTTCTTAATAAATGGACTATTCCTAGTATCAAACCTAAATTCATTTATGAATTAGGAACTTTTGAAGAATTAGGTTTTATCCAAACTGTTAAAACTACAGAAGAGAATTTAACTATGAATGAAGATGACATGACAGTTCAGTTAATAACTCCACAAGATATTAATAAATACAAACATATTTATAATTACTTGCATATTGGTTTAGTGCAAATTGCTTTTAAACCATTAACATTACAAGGATTACCTGAAAGACAAATATATAATATGATTCATAGAATGTTAATGTATAGCACAATTGCTAAAAATACAGGAAATAGTGATAAACAAGTAGCTAACATGCTAATTGCGGATTCACTGGCCAATTAAAAGGCTGGTGGGACAATTATGTTGATGAAAAAACTCAACAAGCTATTCTTAATACAGTAAAAACAGAAAATGGAATAACTACTCCCAATGTGGTATACACTCTTACTTGTACCATAATAGAACATTTTACAGGAAGATGGTCAGATAATTCTGAAAACATTCGTACCTTATTAAATGGATTATTTTGTAAAACTCTTACGTCCTTTCGATGGTATAAGGATACTTTTTTAAGTAGAGTTATGGAGCTTAATGATTATAATAGTGTTTATTGGAAATCAAAATTCATAGATGGTTTGCCAAATCTTTTTGCTGAAAGAGTTAAAAACCAACTAAGAATAGATAATACAATTCCTTACGAAGATTACACATATGGAAAATTAATAGGAACTTGTATCCAGGAAGGTTTGGCCCTATGTAGTGAAATAAAACTCAACCATCAAATAAAAACCCAACATCTTAATGAAAAAAGACAATTAGGAGAATTTTGTGATCAGTTCGGAATAGAAACCAGTAAAAATAAGAAGAAACAGAGAAAAGAATTCCAACAGAAAAAAAGATTTTATAAGAGAAAACATAACGATTTTAATAGAAAAGATAAACACATAAAAAAGAAATTTATTAAAAAGGAAAATAAAAAACCTCCTACTTGCTTTTCATGTGGAAAAACTGGGCATTATGCTAATAAATGCAAAAATAAAAAAATAAAGAAACAAATTAATAATATGGATATAAGTGAGGACATAAAACTTCAATTAATAAATTTAATAGATAATTCGTCAGACGGAGAGGAAATCTCAGACAATAATTCTGATATCAACATAACAGATTATGATTCTAATTCAGATTCTGAAGAAATTGAATGTAATTGTGATAATCTAGAACAATGTTCATGTAACATGGATCATCAATTATATCTAATCCAATCTCAATTTAAAGAAGATTTAACCATAAATGTAATTAGTAATGATATTGCAGACTTATTAAAAGAAGTAAATGATCCAGAAATAAGGCAGAAGATACTAGAAAGTTTAACTATCAAGGAACATAATATAAAAGAAGAAGGAATTTATTCAATGAAAAATGTACATAATATGTTAAGAGAAAGAAGAAATAAAAATTCTACTAATATACCTACAGTACAGGACTTACAAGATGAAATTCAATCTCTAAAACAGGATATATCCAAAATAAAAAAGGATCAATTAATAAATAATCAAAGAATTGATAAATTAGAAAAATTACAAAGTAACCAGGATGCTAGTGCTAGCAATAATACTGATAATAATTTTCTTCAATCAATGGAACTAGTAATATCTAGAAAATGGCATGTTACAATTAATCTATTTATTACTTACAACTATCAAAGGAATTTTGTTGCCCTAATAGACAGCGGAGCAGATCTAAATTGCATAAGAGAAGGATTAATACCTACAAAATATTTTCAAAAATCGACACATACGTTAAGAGAAGTATCAGGTTCCAAATTAGATATTAGATATAAACTAACAGACGCAAAAATTTGTACAGAAAATGTCTGCATACCTATTAATTTCACTATAATTAAAAATATGACTAGTAATACAATGATTCTAGGAAATCCCTTTTTGGAAATGATATTACCTCTAACTATTGATAAAAATAAAATTGTAGGATCCTATAAGAATAAACCTGTTATATTAAATTTTGTCTCTGACCCTTACTCTATCTGGATCAATGAGTTAAATTTAAAGAAAAACCAAATAAACTTTCTTAAAGAAGAAATTAGAACGGTTCAAATAGATGAACAGTTAGAACAACCTAAATTACAGGAAAAAATTAAACTTTTAACAAACCAATTTTCCTTAAACATTTGTAATGACCATCCCAATGCTTTTTGGGAAAGAAAAAAACATATAGTTATGCTTCCCTATGAGGAAGGTTTCAATGAAAAACAAATTCCTACCAAGGCAAGACCATGTCAAATGAATTTTGAATATTTGAATATATGTAAAAAAGAAATAACTTCCTTATTAGATAAAAATTTAATACAACCTTCTAAATCTCCATGGTCGTGTACCGCGTTTTATGTTAACAAACATTCAGAACAAGAAAGGGGAGTACCAAGACTTGTTATCAATTATAAGCCACTTATCCTATTCCTAATAAAAAGGATTTATTAGATCGTTTACATGACTCTTTAATATTCTCAAAGTTTGACTTAAAATCAGGGTATTGGCAAATTCAAATTGATACCAAGGATAGATATAAAACGGCCTTTAATGTTCCTTTTGAACAATACGAATGGAATGTTATGCCATTCGGCCTAAAAAATGCCCCTTCGGAATTTCAAAATATAATGAATGATATATTTAATCCTTATAGCAATTTTATTATTGTTTATATAGATGATATTCTAGTATTCTCAAAAAATATCCAAGAACATTTTGATCATCTGCATACTTTTGAAAAAATAATAATAAATAATGGTCTGGTAATATCACAATCTAAAATGTCGTTATTTCAAACAAAGGTAAGATTTTTGGGTCATAATATTGAAAAGGGACAAGTCATCCCTATACAAAGAAGTATAGATTTTGCTGCAAAATTCCCAGATGAAATAAAAGATAAGACTCAGCTACAAAGATTTTTAGGTAGCCTGAATTATATATCACCTTTTTATAAAGATTTATCAACCGATAGTGCAATTCTTTATGACAGGTTAAAAAAGAACCCTGGTGCTTGGACTAGTAATCATACCCAAGCGGTTAAAAGAATAAAAGACAAAGTTAAAAATCTACCATGCTTATCTTTGGCTAATCCTAATTGGGAAAAGATAGTTGAAACAGATGCCTCTGAAATAGGGTTTGGAGGAATTTTAAAACAAATTCACCCTAACAATAAGCATGAATTTTTAGTCAGGTTTCATTCTGGAAAGTGGACTCCTAGTCAAAAGAATTATTCTACTACTGCTAAAGAAATTTTAGCATTAGTAAAATGTATTCTTAAATTTCAAGATGATTTATATAATCAACATTTCATTATAAAAACAGATTGTCAGGCAGCTAAATTCATGTTTAATAAAGACTTCAAACATGATGTTTCTAAACAAATGTTTACCAGATGGCAAGCTACATTAGCATGTTTTGATTTTGAAATTCAATACAAAAAAGGAAGTGATAATAGTCTTCCCGATTTTTTAACTAGAGAATTTCTGAATGAGTTATAGCCAACTAAGACAGTTATCTTATGATATCATTAATACAAAAAATTTAATTAATAAAGCGGAAATTGAATTAACCAACTTAACAAATGAACCATATTTCAGGAGAACAGTAATAAATTTAAGATTAATTGGTTTAAGAATTCAGCTCAAAAA